ATAAGTTTGCTCGACTCTTTGGAAGCTAAATTTTATAGATCCGAGTTAATGTAACCATTTAAATGTAGAAATGTTGAATTCTCAAGAAAAAATTTTGGCCTAAATTCAAACCACCCCAAGGTTAGTTAAGTACCCATAAAATGCCCAATTGTCTATATATCATTCTTAAACTGCACAAACAATCTTGAAACTCTTCATTCTTTCATAAAAATATCATTTTTCACCAAAAATCATCGAACCATGGCACTATTAGCAACATAAGAAATTACTAAAACTGCTATTATTTGGCTCAAAACCTCTCAGAAAAAGAGATATGTGACGTGAAATGTTTATTGGACGATGGCCCATAAGGATCTCATCGGGAGAAACTAAAAAATAATGCTGAATCAGCATTTTTCTTTTTTTGACTTCAAAATTACGGGTTTTGACGATTATTAGGCACTGTTTGGCATTAACCATCGGAAAGTTGCCTGAAATGTCATTGTTTGTAGGCCTGCGAACTGTCATATAAAATATTGAATATTTTTTGCCATATTTTGCTTGGTAAAGGATGTATTGTAACATTTTTAGATGTCAGAATTTCTCAGCCTAATTTTTCTGAGAGATGTCAACATATTTGAACGAAATAAATGGCTGAATTTGATTTTTTAAGGCTACAATTGGGAATAATTTCACGAATGGTATCTAATTAGCCAAAATTAATCTATAATTTTGATTTAAGAAGAAGTTAAACAATAGAAAACCAGTGAAAACTGACTAATTTAGTCAGCTTTTGGCTAATTTTGCCCAAAAATGGGCCAAATTAATGTGTCATGGTCCAGTGATTTTTGCCAATAAAACACTTTGATCAATATAAATAAGTTTGCTCGACTCTTTGGAAGCTAAATTTTATAGATCCGAGTTAATGTAACCATTTAAATGTAGAAATGTTGAATTCTCAAGAAAAAATTTTGGCCTAAATTCAAACCACCCCAAGGTTAGTTAAGTACCCATAAAATGCCCAATTGTCTATATATCATTCTTAAACTGCACAAACAATCTTGAAACTCTTCATTCTTTCATAAAAATATCATTTTTCACCAAAAATCATCGAACCATGGCACTATTAGGGATAACTCCACAGATGTCGCTAGTGAAAAGGTAGAAGACAAAAAATCTAAATTTAAAATTGGCATGATGGTTGATTGAAATCAATATTTATCAGTGCAATCACCAGTGAAAATGTACAGATTTTATATTTTATTTTGTTTATCTCGTGTGTGTATAATTTTACAAAAAGTATGGCGAAATGATTCGGTTCACTTCAAATATTTGACTTTTTGTGACGGTGGTCTTGAGTTTGAAATCTATTAAAAATTGTTTAAAATTCGGATAGATGGCGGAAAAAGCAGTCATATCTTTTTTTCTCAATGGGTGTTCTATGCAATTTTTGTTTTGATTTGAAAGGGGACATATGGAGCTATCCCGTGGTATATGGGGTTATGTACCGAAAATCCTCGTTTTTTCATAATCAATCCAAAGATTTCAATATTTTCACATTGGATTACATTACAGCATTTATCTGTGGAATTGTCCCTATTAGCAACATAAGAAATTACTAAAACTGCTATTATTTGGCTCAAAACCTCTCAGAAAAAGAGATATGTGACGTGAAATGTTTATTGGACGATGGCCCATAAGGATCTCATCGGGAGAAACTAAAAAATAATGCTGAATCAGCATTTTTCTTTTTTTGACTTCAAAATTACGGGTTTTGACGATTATTAGGCACTGTTTGGCATTAACCATCGGAAAGTTGCCTGAAATGTCATTGTTTGTAGGCCTGCGAACTGTCATATAAAATATTGAATATTTTTTGCCATATTTTGCTTGGTAAAGGATGTATTGTAACATTTTTAGATGTCAGAATTTCTCAGCCTAATTTTTCTGAGAGATGTCAACATATTTGAACGAAATAAATGGCTGAATTTGATTTTTTAAGGCTACAATTGGGAATAATTTCACGAATGGTATCTAATTAGCCAAAATTAATCTATAATTTTGATTTAAGAAGAAGTTAAACAATAGAAAACCAGTGAAAACTGACTAATTTAGTCAGCTTTTGGCTAATTTTGCCCAAAAATGGGCCAAATTAATGTGTCATGGTCCAGTGATTTTTGCCAATAAAACACTTTGATCAATATAAATAAGTTTGCTCGACTCTTTGGAAGCTAAATTTTATAGATCCGAGTTAATGTAACCATTTAAATGTAGAAATGTTGAATTCTCAAGAAAAAATTTTGGCCTAAATTCAAACCACCCCAAGGTTAGTTAAGTACCCATAAAATGCCCAATTGTCTATATATCATTCTTAAACTGCACAAACAATCTTGAAACTCTTCATTCTTTCATAAAAATATCATTTTTCACCAAAAATCATCGAACCATGGCACTATTAGGGATAACTCCACAGATGTCGCTAGTGAAAAGGTAGAAGACAAAAAATCTAAATTTAAAATTGGCATGATGGTTGATTGAAATCAATATTTATCAGTGCAATCACCAGTGAAAATGTACAGATTTTATATTTTATTTTGTTTATCTCGTGTGTGTATAATTTTACAAAAAGTATGGCGAAATGATTCGGTTCACTTCAAATATTTGACTTTTTGTGACGGTGGTCTTGAGTTTGAAATCTATTAAAAATTGTTTAAAATTCGGATAGATGGCGGAAAAAGCAGTCATATCTTTTTTTCTCAATGGGTGTTCTATGCAATTTTTGTTTTGATTTGAAAGGGGACATATGGAGCTATCCCGTGGTATATGGGGTTATGTACCGAAAATCCTCGTTTTTTCATAATCAATCCAAAGATTTCAATATTTTCACATTGGATTACATTACAGCATTTATCTGTGGAATTGTCCCTATTAGCAACATAAGAAATTACTAAAACTGCTATTATTTGGCTCAAAACCTCTCAGAAAAAGAGATATGTGACGTGAAATGTTTATTGGACGATGGCCCATAAGGATCTCATCGGGAGAAACTAAAAAATAATGCTGAATCAGCATTTTTCTTTTTTTGACTTCAAAATTACGGGTTTTGACGATTATTAGGCACTGTTTGGCATTAACCATCGGAAAGTTGCCTGAAATGTCATTGTTTGTAGGCCTGCGAACTGTCATATAAAATATTGAATATTTTTTGCCATATTTTGCTTGGTAAAGGATGTATTGTAACATTTTTAGATGTCAGAATTTCTCAGCCTAATTTTTCTGAGAGATGTCAACATATTTGAACGAAATAAATGGCTGAATTTGATTTTTTAAGGCTACAATTGGGAATAATTTCACGAATGGTATCTAATTAGCCAAAATTAATCTATAATTTTGATTTAAGAAGAAGTTAAACAATAGAAAACCAGTGAAAACTGACTAATTTAGTCAGCTTTTGGCTAATTTTGCCCAAAAATGGGCCAAATTAATGTGTCATGGTCCAGTGATTTTTGCCAATAAAACACTTTGATCAATATAAATAAGTTTGCTCGACTCTTTGGAAGCTAAATTTTATAGATCCGAGTTAATGTAACCATTTAAATGTAGAAATGTTGAATTCTCAAGAAAAAATTTTGGCCTAAATTCAAACCACCCCAAGGTTAGTTAAGTACCCATAAAATGCCCAATTGTCTATATATCATTCTTAAACTGCACAAACAATCTTGAAACTCTTCATTCTTTCATAAAAATATCATTTTTCACCAAAAATCATCGAACCATGGCACTATTAGCAACATAAGAAATTACTAAAACTGCTATTATTTGGCTCAAAACCTCTCAGAAAAAGAGATATGTGACGTGAAATGTTTATTGGACGATGGCCCATAAGGATCTCATCGGGAGAAACTAAAAAATAATGCTGAATCAGCATTTTTCTTTTTTTGACTTCAAAATTACGGGTTTTGACGATTATTAGGCACTGTTTGGCATTAACCATCGGAAAGTTGCCTGAAATGTCATTGTTTGTAGGCCTGCGAACTGTCATATAAAATATTGAATATTTTTTGCCATATTTTGCTTGGTAAAGGATGTATTGTAACATTTTTAGATGTCAGAATTTCTCAGCCTAATTTTTCTGAGAGATGTCAACATATTTGAACGAAATAAATGGCTGAATTTGATTTTTTAAGGCTACAATTGGGAATAATTTCACGAATGGTATCTAATTAGCCAAAATTAATCTATAATTTTGATTTAAGAAGAAGTTAAACAATAGAAAACCAGTGAAAACTGACTAATTTAGTCAGCTTTTGGCTAATTTTGCCCAAAAATGGGCCAAATTAATGTGTCATGGTCCAGTGATTTTTGCCAATAAAACACTTTGATCAATATAAATAAGTTTGCTCGACTCTTTGGAAGCTAAATTTTATAGATCCGAGTTAATGTAACCATTTAAATGTAGAAATGTTGAATTCTCAAGAAAAAATTTTGGCCTAAATTCAAACCACCCCAAGGTTAGTTAAGTACCCATAAAATGCCCAATTGTCTATATATCATTCTTAAACTGCACAAACAATCTTGAAACTCTTCATTCTTTCATAAAAATATCATTTTTCACCAAAAATCATCGAACCATGGCACTATTAGGGATAACTCCACAGATGTCGCTAGTGAAAAGGTAGAAGACAAAAAATCTAAATTTAAAATTGGCATGATGGTTGATTGAAATCAATATTTATCAGTGCAATCACCAGTGAAAATGTACAGATTTTATATTTTATTTTGTTTATCTCGTGTGTGTATAATTTTACAAAAAGTATGGCGAAATGATTCGGTTCACTTCAAATATTTGACTTTTTGTGACGGTGGTCTTGAGTTTGAAATCTATTAAAAATTGTTTAAAATTCGGATAGATGGCGGAAAAAGCAGTCATATCTTTTTTTCTCAATGGGTGTTCTATGCAATTTTTGTTTTGATTTGAAAGGGGACATATGGAGCTATCCCGTGGTATATGGGGTTATGTACCGAAAATCCTCGTTTTTTCATAATCAATCCAAAGATTTCAATATTTTCACATTGGATTACATTACAGCATTTATCTGTGGAATTGTCCCTATCGTTTTTATTAGTGAGTAAATAACAGAAGGAACTTTTTATTTCGAAATTCATGACAAGAATGGTACAAGTTTAACTCGATATAACAAAATGTTGTTCACATGAAAATGCAGACAGCCTGACAAGTCATTCCTTTTTCAATATACACCTACCTGTTCTTGGCGTATAATGTGACTGGTATTTATTTGTTTACTTTTTTAAAATTAAAATCAATGTAATATATTTAGTTTGTGGTGGCTATGACCCCGAAGAGGGAGTATTAGGTGCCACATAATGGTATTTACAATGATTTGTGAAATATTGTAAAAAGTGTACATGTAATTGTGTAAAGTATGATATTGTACATAATTCGTTATTGCTGTAACCTTTAGAGGCGAGATAATGGGAAATGTCCTAGGTTCTGGGCCCATGTAAAGATGACAGCACCAACAGAATCCAATATTTAGAATATTTATAGATAAACACAGATCGGTTACCATGCCATCTTTATTTGAAAATTATTTCTATCGACCTTTAGCCTACGGGAAATGTCACTTTGCGATGAATGTGTCGAAATCAAAAGATTTAGATTAAATTCTTTAAGTTTTCAGCATCATATTTTGTATACTTAAGCTTTTGACCATCATATCATGTATCTGTGTCATGGGGTATACAAAAAACAGTTGGACGAGTTACAAAAAACGGGAAAAAGTACTTGCAAAACATTTATGGGGGGGGGGGTGAAAGGCCAATCATGTTGGGCGTATTATTAGCCTATAATATCTACGTCTAATACATGCGGGCAGTCACTTCGCTTGGCAACTATAATTGCTCCCGAAGCTAAATACTTGTATTAGTAAATGATACAAAAATCCATAATCAATTTTACCTAATCTCTTTCACAATTATTAACTTTCGTAAGAAAACCAACATACACTTCTGTTCCGAATGCAAATATGTGTATTATTCGCCACATCAAAATTACGGCTACTCTTACCTACGTAAACATAGACAGCCATTTACCTATCAACAACAAACAGTAATTTCAAAAGAATTTTTATCATAAATGCGATTTATCAAAAGTTGTATTATGAAAGGCAAAAAAGAAATATAATACATCGATTCATAGAATACTAAATAAACCATTTCGATGACAGTGATATTGAATCGATCAAGATTTTGTATATAGTGTTCTTAGCTATAACAGTGAAATGAAATGCTTATCATGACATTTGATGGTTTAATTATAACTATATTACAAAACACGTTTGAGGGTTAACATCGCCAACTGATGACTATCACGAAATATCACTAGATCCAGGAACCCGAAGATACGATAAGATGTCGCATAATAGAGCAGAGGAAAAATAGCACCAGATTTAGAATCCATTGTATCAACCTATGTAAAAGATATGATACCACAACTGAAAATAACACCAGATTTAGACTCTTAGGATGTCACAAAATAGGATGTTACAATATGGCATAAAATCCGGACTCTAGGGTATCGTCACAAAATAGATTCGGAAATTATGATTTGTTCTTGACTGATTTACAATGCGGATCGAGGTTGTCAGAGGACATTTTAATATCTATTAGGTAGAGGAAAATGAGATCCTGCTTCTTAGATGGAATTTATACGTATTTATACAACTTTCAATTAAGAAACACTGCAATAAGTATGATAAAATCTGAGACGTAATTTCTCGCTCAGGTTTGAATTAACTTTTATATCAGAGAAATTAAATCAGGTAAAGTAGGGGATAATTAAGCAAACATCTTTTTATAGACTGCAATTAGATTACAACTCTAGCGAGGTCATCAGTCAATCAATTTCCAGGTAAATATATAAGCAAAAATAACAGCGGAATATAAAAGACGTAACGTAAGAACACGTTCACGTTTTTAGAAGGACATATACGACTACGACATTCTGAATATTGAATAACACATTTGATGTACTTATAACGCCTGCTTTCTAATTAACACCAGGTCTGTTCATGTAATAAGATGGACCAAGGGAGAGATAAATACCCTGACTCAAAAGCGCATCCTCAGATTAAGCTCACATTAAATACATTATATGACAATAATATTATGCTAATAGTTACAAAATGAAAAATCAATTATAGCTAATTAGACCAAGGGGAAGCTATAATTTCGTGGGATTAAAATTGGGCTGCCGATGACTAAGTACTACGTATAAAGACGCACTCACTTAGATATACATATAAAACAAGACTACCCCTCGTCTTAGTTTTGTATCTACCGTTCAGAATGATGAGGTCATACCAATTTGCTGATGTCCTATCAAGATTCGACGAGACAGGGAGAGATGTAGCCTTAGATAGGTAAGTGCATAATATGCTAGTATATAGCACGGGAAATGATCAAAATATATGATTGAAATATGAAAAAATGAAATATGTGATTTAAAGAAAACATCTTTGATCGATTATATATGCTGGAAACTCCAAATTCATAAGCATTTAAGGTGGGAGGGGGTGGAAGGGGGTGGGTTCGAGCTTCTTTTTCAAGTTAGGGTCAATGCCTCGGGCCAGATAACATTGGAAATTGAAAGGTTAAACGACAGAACTGAATCAATTTTTCCCGGGGAATTTTTAGGTGTACGTAGGCATCACATGAAATGTTATTAGAAAAACTACTGAAACTAGATATTTATTAAATAATGTTTGTCCCAAAAATGTAAGTCTTAAGTATGAGCAGATCGAAACTGGAAATGTCGAAATGAAAATGCTCAAAACATAGCAAACAAACATAATGCAGTTGTAAATTATGCACTTTTTGCATTTACTAGACTAAGGACAGATAATTAGAATTGTAACTTGTGTTAATGACCCCTGCGATAAGGGATTACGTAATTAAATATCATTGTATTTCTAAAACAGTGACTCTGTAAATCATTTTGTGTCACATGATGTATCGAAGACCATAATAATGGTTATTTCGCGGCTGAATGAATTGTTATTAAGTTCTGATTGATGTTTGTGTTTTCGTTTGTATTTCCGATAATGTTGTTTTATATGGTCTTGAATATACTATTATTTACTTTTATTGCGTTCAGATACACGTATTCCTGTTCTTGCTTTTGTAGACGTGCACTTATACGAGTGTTCTACATGTACAATTCTAACAGTTCATTATGTTTTCATTCAGAATGATGGCGAATGCTGGAGTGAATTCGAAGAAAAGGGGCATGCGTGGATTGACTCACTCCACAACATCACAAGAACTTCAGGCTGGCTCTCTTAATAAACTCAATATGTTGAAACATAGTTTAATCCAACAAGAACAAAGTAATCTATCCAATGCTTTGGAAAGAATACGGATGAAAAATCGAAGCCATTTAGTTGCCGACCAAACAGGAGCGAAGACAGCCAAGCGCCCAAAGCCACAAACTCTTCACGCTGTCCAGCGCCTAAAACGATATGGTACAGGTGGCCGAGCTTTGCCTAGTTTAGCAAAAGGTATCGTAGAAGGTAAACACCTGAATGACGAAGGTAAAGCCCGCAGTTCGCCTCCATTCCGGTCCCGTGATGTTCGTAAAAGAGATTGTACCACTGCACCCGGAAAAATTACTTTACCGATGTCACCAAGGGAACGCATGGGTGGGATGACTGTGACGCGTTTTGAGACGCAAGTTGTCGACTGTCAGACGGAATCCAATCCCAAATCGTTAACACGCGAAAACAGAAACTCAAGTCCCTTTGCAAAACAAGTGCATCTTAACGGAGACAATACATTGACGAAACAGATGGCCGTATTCAACAGGGACCCAAAGACAAACAAGTTATATTCAAGGGTAACATCTCGAAGAAATGACAATAAGGAAGACCAGTTTTTACCCGAATTATCTCCAAGAAGTTACAGACTGGGACGTAAAAATTGCGATTTTGAAGATACGGAGGGGCTAGTAACGGTAACAGGCCCAACGCCTATCAACAATCCATACAGCGATCGGGACACTCATATCAACAAACATAAAAAAGAGAAAAGAGATCAAGAGGTTTATGGAATAGCTAATAAACATAGTCAGGAGAGATCGTATTTATCACGACATGGGATCCGTGCTAATGTAACGCAAAGTGTACCTAATAGTAGCGTGATACACCAGAATTACAAGGATGACATAACTAAAACTCCTTCGAATTACAAACCCTCGAGAACTGTTCCAAATTATGCTCAGATACCCGTGAAATCTATCTTTGTTGAGATGCCGAGCATTGTGTTTCGCCCATCTAGTCCCGAGTCAGATCTTGCCGATGATGAAGCCATTACCCCTCGTACCAAGCAGTCACTCCAGAGAATCTTTCGGCAAAACGAGCTCTATGAAAAAGAAGTAAAGGATCTATTGGAAGATGTACGTGAACTCAATGAAATGACACAACAATTAGAGAAGAAAGCGAAAACAGAAGAACTGACAGGAGCTATTGAAAATTTACAGCTCGATGAAGAAAAACATTTTTTTTAAAACAAGAAAGGTGGTCTATGATCAGGGAAAGCCTTTTTATCACTGACAATAACACGGACGTTTGGCAAAGTTGGATTCCTTGCATATCTTTATTCAATTTTAATTAATATAAAGATGGCAGAGCGATTGCGTTGTTTTAATTGATCTACATAACATAATTATATTTTTCTGAATAAAAGGAAGAAAGAAAAAACAAATACGCTACACAAATATTTCTGAACGATTGAATAATTATACACCGTGATGGTCATAACACAAACAACATTAGGGTCTCATCCTCACGATCATCGAATACATTTTCAAGCGAGCAAATCTGGAAGATTTATTTTTCAGGAGAACGTTTCCATTGGATAGCTAAAGAATAAGCGCATGGTATAGTAGAATAGGTAAAAATAGGTATTTGTAAGGAAATAAAGTAAAGCGCGCAGCTCTTAATCTTCCAAAATACATTACACCCTCCGTCCATCCCTCGTATGGTTATTTATTTTGAAAAGCCAGCAATGAAATTGATTTTAACGTCACTTATTTATTACGGGTCGTGTAGACTCCCATTGCTTGATTCATAGCAAAAATATTGACTTGAGAGCTTTGATGGCGTTGCGCCTTTTTAATAGATCTCATATCTTAGAAATGTATCAGTTAAAAATTCTTAGAAGACCTAACATGTTTTACCATGCGCCAATATATTTAGCAACTCATTATAATGTTTTACTGAAAAAACAAATCTTTAAGATTTGTTGTATTATTCAGCAGAAATCGCCTGCATCCACCACCGTATGTTTTGTCCGATGGCCAGGCGTTTACATACGTATAAATGCGAGTGTGGCGCTGCATTTAGAGTGACGAGGTCCGAAAAGTGCCCGTGAACATTTGACAAAAATTACGTTTGTCCAATATTTGTTATCCAGCTAGCGAAAGAGCCAAATGTACCTCGCGACACTCATTATGAACTTTGATGATTTTTATGATCATCATCGAGGGAATTTTTATCATCTCAATTTTATCTCAGTTCCTCACTATTATTTCATGTTTTGAAGGAACTTTGCACTTACCTTCCTATAGAAATAGAAAGGAACTACGCTATACGATGGAACCATAGATCCCTGTGTAATTAGCAAAACAAGTCTAACAAATATCTGACCACTTAGAGGGTGTATATGATAACATATATTGATAATATCGGAACAAATACAGTTGCGATGATCTTTGGTAATATTTTTGAAATGCATATACGTCAAATCTAGATAAAGCAGGGTCACTATAGAAGAGTCTTAATTTAATTATATTTTGCATGTGTACGTACTGTTCGATCTTGAACGGATCATGAAGAACGCATATAAAATGACGATACTTTTAGCCAACGCCTCAAAATGCATTTTTAGAAGTATATTCTTGTTTACTTTTCTTTGTTAATAGTATTTGATAAACCCATTAACTTAGTAGCTTTCGATGATTCTTATATAAATGATACGTAACTCCTTCATTTATGATTATGGTAGCCAACCTCTCTCTGGGCGTGTTTACTTTTCTGTTTTGCCAAATCATTATATGATAACCTTAGTATTTATAACTGTTAGGGATATGAGGTCAATGTCTGTACGACAACATTTGATTACTTTATATTGATGTTTTTGGTATCATTTCTTTTGATGTTAAGATAAATCGATGACTTTTTTAATTTTGAATTAGTGATCTTAAAATTTGTGTCAAGTGTTAAATATCTCAGTAACGACTAAATTGTCACAGATCTGAGAATTAAAACGTCAGTCGGAATTTATGACTATGGGTGTAAGTTTGTTATACATCTGTAATAAATACCTCAAAATGTGTATAGAATATACAAATGTGTGTATTTTATTGATAAAACACGCTGCATGTTGTTGTCATTGGGCGTAGGGATGGTTCAATTAATTTAGGGGATTCGACAGGGTGATTAAAAAGAGACACATAAGATTCATAGATATCCAATAATTGCGCCAACATCTACTTCAGTCTTAGCAATAACGCAGTGGTTGCCATGACAACAAGGCGGGTCTTGTTAACTAGCATCTGCAGTACACGAAAGGTGCAACATAAAAAATATTATCGACCTTATCGACGATTGATGAATACGGAATTCAGGTAGTGATCAAAATATATTTGACACCTACAAGAAAATATATTATACTTTTGATCCATAAGTTTGGCAAATGGAAGTCCCATAGCATGTTAAGACCTAATTAGCTGTGAATATGATTTTGTTCCCTCTAAAATCACCATGGACTTTCAAAGAGAAGTTCTCGTGTTTATAGCACAAACTTTTTTTGAAAACCCATGAAATCGCCAAACATATATAAATCTTAACGTGTGATGAAAAATACACGGCGTCTTAAGTTTTTAGTGGATTAAACCGCCGGAACTCTCATGATCAAATATTACCCTCAAATTGCCCCATTGTTTTGATATTATTTTCAATCGTCAATAGAGAATATCTTTTTAACAATGGAGGTGATCTATCACCCAATGAAGCAATTTATCAATACTGACCTGGGTTCTACAAAACCCAATAATGTTATCAGTTGCAATTGTAGATTGAGTTACAAGAGGCGTGGTGTATATACAGTATATATGATATCACCATTTGAGTCTGCGATGACAACACATTAAGATCTTACCAACCCTTAAGATTTTGTTTTTTACGATATCTCAAAAATAAGTTAATTATTAGACAAATGAAGCCATTTGTAAAGGTTAATAAGTGGCGCTGCTACTAGAGAATATTGCAAATATCCCCAAAATAAGTTTGGAAAACAACGATTTATTCCTCCATTGCATAGATTTCACCAGTAGCGCCTTTCACAAAATTATAACAATGGATTCAAACAAGAATATTTTCCCACTAGTTTGGAAGTTCAGGGGTTTGGGAATATTGAAAAAGATCAATGTACATGTGTACTCCTCACGAACGATAAACTAGGCTACAATAAAACATACGCTTAATAAATTGAGTTAAAAAATATTCCATATTCAATATGTTTTTCATACCTATTTTGTACGTTGTATCGTAGAAATTACCTAGTGATAACAAGTGATTTATTCAAGACGATAACAATCGTAAGGAATAGCGACGATTGCAATTGATATATTATTTTCACCAATGCAGGTACAATTAATATCTGGATCAGAATACACAGTTCTAAATCTGGATCAAAAAATTTACACGAGTCAATAGGAATTATTGGACAGTACAATAAAAATTGAAACAAAACTCACAGGTGACGACCCCGGTAACAATATGGGACTGCAATTTTTATTTTACAGCCAAGGAATATGTTTTGTGCTGATGGCCATATTCCACAGTGGAGGTACGTAAACTGTTGCCTACTTGTGCATTTAATATTTTTGACATTCGTGTTTGGAATATCTAGCCTAGAAACAAGATTTTTTGAAGTATTTTGAACCAAAATTTTTAAAATGTGAGCCTTATTTACCAAAGCAGGCCTTGAAAGAGTCTTGTCTAATTTGACCTCGTCTTATTTGACATCGGTAAATGCTTTTTCCTACATGGGGCTAAACGGGCCATACTATATATTTTTGGCACAACTGAATTGGAAAATGAGTATTAAAATGTGAGTCTCATGTTCCAAAGAAGGCCTTTTCTTGAAAGAGTCTAATTTGACCTCGATCAATACTTTTTCCTACATGGGGCTAAAGGGCCCAACTATATATTTTTTGCACAACTGAAGGGGAAATGAGTTTTCAAATATCATCTGTCCATTCATAATTACTTACACATGGGTCTTAATAAAATGAAATATTGTGGCGATTCCTGATGCTATCGACTTTTCTACTGATGCAATACCAAACGCTTGATTTTTGCCAGGAAGTCAACATTCGAAGGTCAAAAATGAAGGAAATTAGAATTGGTCTAGATTTTAGCCTAGACCTTACTATGTTGAAAGCAGATGATGGGCGCACAAAATTAGAAGCATTCTTAGGAGAAAATCTATAAAAAAAACATTAATTAAGAATTTTTGAATTTAATAATTTGGGCAACATCTTTATCGAAGAATGGAGCTGTATCTGTATCAAATATTATACAAAACTATTTAAGTCAGCAAAACACTTTGAAAGACCTTCAAAAAAGCACCGAGTGATTTTACCTCAACACTGTGCTAAAAGTCTAAATCGGGAGAAACTCTTCATCCCCTTTAAGTCAATTGGTTAAAAGGTAGATATCTATTTGACTATGAAATATTTTTTATCTGAGGCTGATTAACGTATTCAACAACAATACTTTGTGGATTCAACAGATCCATGATAACAGGCTCAAACGTGTGAAGGAACGGTTGATGATTTATGATAATTTTTTGTACGAAAGCTTAAGTTAGTAAACAGCTCACAATTATGTTCTGGAAAATATGTAATCAGTATTGTTGTTACAGACAGCCTAATTAATCACCTATTAGAAGAAAATATGTTTTTATGTTGCAGGGTGCCAGGTGTGTAATAGTACAAACCCATGTATGAATTTCGGACAGTGTATTCTGGGAAATGAAACGGATCCAACAACAGCGTACTGCCATTGTCTGCCTGATTATACAGGGGGCACCTGTGAAAATCAACGTAAGTTTTCATACGGTTTTCTTTCTGACCCCAGATTCAATAAAATAAGGCTTATGAAATTCTGAAAATAAAGGTTTGCCTAAGTATATAAAAAGTTTATAATTTATGATTTGAGAATAAATCCGATATTGAGAAAACAGCTGTGAACAAAACGCGTCTTAAAAATTATTGTAATGAGTTGTAAAATACTACGTGTATACATGCTCGAGTCGAGGAATTTTTTAATTAATTTGTTTATACAAATGTTGTTTTTTGTCCACCCTGTATTAGAAAATCAGCGTTGCAAATGGCTTGAAATTGTTCACATATTGGTTCTGATTTCCTAGTAAACAGTACGTGCCTTAGCAACCCATGTCAGAACGAGGGTGTGTGTCTAGGAGACTACCAGTCATACCAGTGTATATGTCAACCAGGATACAAAGGCATTAACTGTGGGACAGAACCAGGTAAGTCACAAACACCAGGCAGGATAAAAAAAGTCGAGCCATTTGAATAATCGAGGCAACTTTTAATCCAAGAAGAATATAATATTTCTATGTCACATCATTTTCAGTTTCAGTCTTAAACCATCTCCATAATGTAGTTCTGTAAAATAACATGGGCGTAGCAACAGGCGTGAGCAAAGAAGCAATATTGTAATTTTTGGAAAACATCAATACTTAACAACAACAACAACAACAACAAATTATAATTTGAAATGTTTAGAATGCATCAAATACAATTTAAATTTTTAAAAATTTCCGTGGGTGAACCCCACTTCCCATCGTTCGCAGTGATGCAATCATTCGCACCCCTTGACATTTGCTGACTACGCCCCTGCATAAGGTGAGCACATTGCTTCCCTTGTCTCAAATATTATATAACTAAGAGCATATATGTATATATCGATAGTGTGGCCAAGTAAATGTAATAATGTCTAAAGCTAAAGAAGTTTGAACAATACATGTATATCCAACCAAATGAATTCTTACCTAATCCCTTCACCTTGTGCGTCAATGCTTTTTTTAAAATGAGTTCATGATTACTACAAAACGTTCAATATGTTTATTAATATCAGATGGCTGCTATGGTGATCCATGTATGAACGGAGGTATTTGTAATTCAACCGGAACGAACTTTACGTGCACGTGCCCGCCAGAAACTACAGGAATAACTTGTGGACTAGGTAGATTGTAATTTCATTTGCCTCATAAAATAAGGTCAAATAATGCATTGGCAAGAAATATTTGTCTTGTACTAATTGACCACGCTTTGTCACTTACAAAGACAATGTTACTAGTTTTCCGAATAATTCAATTTAAATTCGAAAGGACTAGAACTAGTGTTGTCGTCTTGAAGTGTATCTGCGGTTGATAAAACATTCATCAAGTCTATATTATATACATGTATGTGAGCTTCTTCCTCTATTTTTGCATCAATCTCAACCTTAATCTTAATCACAATGTACAAACACGAAGATGGTTGTATTTCAGCTTTAAACCAGTGTTCTGTGAATTCCTGCAACAATGGTACGTGTGTAGATCACCACACCAACTTTTCTTGTATCTGTCATGCTGGCTACACTGGGAGACTTTGTGATCAACAAATTGGTAAGATATCACTTAGAATAGTTTGTGAAACACATTCAGATAAATTCAAGTAGATTGGGGATGAGTCCAAAGATAAAAAGCAAAATTGAATTGTATTATACTAATTGTATAGGTAAAATGTAATCCAAACATTATATTTGCCGAATAATACCGAATTAAGATCAGAAGTCCGTTTTTCAATTTGCCTAATATACAATACCTGTACAATAATAATTGTATTTGCTATGATATAGATTCATGAAGTCACAAATCTTTTATTTGAAATAAACATACGTGTTTAGGTATGAATGATCAGTTTAACATAAATATACTCTTACGTTCTTTTAAATCAGCTTTCTGTGCTTCTGACCCATGCATTAACGGCGAATGCACCGAGGGAGCAACAGGATACGTTTGTACATGTGAAGCTGATTTCACTGGAAGAAACTGTGAATCAGGTATGTACACATTATCTGAACGACGATGAACGTATAGGTTGAAATTCACAGAATCTTGTAAATGGGTTACAGATTTTAGATGCATTGAGCTAAAAACGTTGGTCGAAATCTTGGTTTGTTTTCTAATGTCAGGTTGTGTTTTAGTGTTACAGATTCTTATCGTATTTATTTTAACCTTTCCCTTTCTAGTACAGTGTTTATAAACTTGAATATAACGTTTTATGACACAAATGATCATTTTTATTTCAGCCATTAACAAATGTCAGTTTAGTCCTTGCAAAAACGGGTTTTGTCTGGCTCACCATACCAACTATACATGTGTTTGTTCTGACGGGTATAGTGGGAAGAACTGCGATGTCATAAGCCCTTGCCTCTCCAACCCCTGTATGAACGGTGGTAATTGCACGAATGTGACAACAACATCCACCGACTATACTTGTACGTGCAATCCTGGTTTCACAGGCCGGAATTGTGAGATGGGTGAGTTTTCATAAAATTATGTAATTGCAACATTTTCCCCGAGAATCAATGGGAATTCAAAGATAGTTTTTCGTACAAAGCTAAAATCGTTTTGAAATCTCAATCAAATGGTGTTATCTACTTCCATTCTCATTATTCGAGCTTTTGTTTGCTTGCATGCTTGCAGACCGATGAAACATGTTCCCCTAGACACAGGTCCTTCAATTTAGACCAGTTTTAGAATAATATTACAATTATAATGCTACGGAGGATTTTACCATTCCATGAACTATATTGTAGCTAATAACCCTTGCATATCATCACCGTGTGGTGAGTTTGGTTACTGTCTCGACTACCAAGAAACTTACAAATGCGTCTGTAACGATGGCTATGACGGAGATAACTGCGACATTATAGGTAACTGCATGTTAATTGATCACTAGCCCCACTCGTATATTACGAGGATGCTGTAAGCATTTCAAAATGATACTGTGCTAAAAAGTTTGAGCATTTTGCACGTGAATGTGCATAACATATCTTTTTTAGAATATGTTTTCATTTATTTCATACATATCACAGTATCTTAAAATATTGTTAGATCAGGTAGCACCTTCTGACATTAGGCTAATAAGACGTTTTTTCTAAAATTATGTTCTCAACAAATGAATGAGATTTACTAGGTCCATTATTTGTTTCGTATCTCTGAAACTATCACAGCTGATTTCTACATGAAAACGATACACACATATGATTATGTATCTCATACTTGAGTGGGGGGTAGATATATCACCCGGGAATATATATCATATCTGAGGAGCGGGCAGGGTATATTGTATACATCCCGCTCCAGGCTAAATGCGGAGAAATATAATATGTCTATCCCGCTCCCGGGAATTTCTCAAAATTTAAAAAAAATTTAAGTTTTGTAAGTTTAGATTTTTTAAAGTTTTAATGTTACAATTCCATTGTATTGAACTAAAGGAATATAACGAAAATGTTAAACTTGTGCTTTTTCAGTATAGGCCTATCTTGTCTTTTGAAAAAGTTGGAAAAGGTTATATCTACCCAAAAACCCACTCAAGTATGAGAGATACACCAGTTATGCATGGTCGGGTATATCCCTCGGGAAATATTTATAATCTTCCCTTGGTCCATTCCCGTTCCTCGGGGAGATATAAATACATCCCTCAGGATATGCCCTGTGTCCAATACTTCCCAGCACATAACCCTAATATACTCATCTCATGTTGTAGCTTCATGTTTGTCCAATCCATGCAGAAACGGTGGTACGTGTCGCAATACGTCATCGGCCTTTAACTCGACGTACACGTGTGAATGTCCAAATGGATACACTGGGGTTGAATGCGAACTAGGTGGGTTTTAAAGATACAACAAATGGATATGAGAATTGGAACCATACTTTAAATCAAAAAGCAAAATTTTTTAATCGAAAGATTTCTGTGCTTAAAAAGATTTAAATTAAGTTCACCGACATTTTTCCGTGTCATTATGCTATTTCTGACATGTCAGATGAGTGAATCGTACTTTTCAATTTGAAGAAATTTATGTTAAGTAATGTATCGAAAGGATGCCGTGTAGAAACATATATTTCCGATTCGATATTTTAATGTTGACTGGCTTTCTCATTACAGCAATCAACAAGTGTTCCCAAGAAGCGTGTCAACATGGGTACTGTGTCGACTCCCAGTTTGATTACAAATGTGTCTGTGAGCCAGGGTACAGCGGAAGAAAGTGTAACATTTCTGGTACAGCTTCCTTTTTAATGTTTGTCACATTTCAATTGTGCAACTATATTGATTGATGAAATCACACTAAAAAATGTCTGTGTAAACAATATTATATTCATTCACATTATTTTATATTTTAGATCCGTGCATGTCCAATCCGTGTAGAAACAGTGGCACGTGTCGCAATACGTCATCGGCCTCTAGTTCAACGTATACGTGTGAATGCCCAAATGGGTACAGTGGGGTTAATTGCGAGCTAGGTATGAAACGGGTTTTAAAGATACAAAAAACGCCTCTGCGAATACTATTGGAAATCTCCTGCATTGACAATGCTGTTGTCATTCATTTGTCATGTGAATCACATATTTTCAAATGTAAAGCAAAATTACGTTCATGACCCAGGTAAAATGTTATTATCGCAGAGATGTGACGAAGCGTAATTCATCTCCTCATATGTTTCAGTAACCAACAGATGTGCAAATGAAACATGTCAGAATGGTGCCTGTATAGATTACCAGTTCACATTTGAATGTTTATGTGATCCCGGCTATAATGGCACATATTGTGAATTTGGTAAGTACTGACCTTATTCTTTGTATATCATATTCAGATTATATACATTATTATATCACTATCTAGCTAGCGACAGTATGATTGGTCAAAGCCGGGTCACATGTCGTAGGATATCTGGCGATTTTCATTGGCAATGCTAATCAGATAAGACAACCGTGAGATATCAAGCGATATCCCACGCTCCCGGGAATTTTCAAAGAATTTGTTTTTGTTCAGTGTAAATAATTTAGTTCAGTGTAATTCAAAATGGCAGACGAACCGAGTAGATTCGAGTCGGGGCAATCTGCGCGAGATTCGGTTTTTACTTGGTTCGGTTTTTCATTAAAGGAAGTACTTCATTCCCATGATTCAAAGTGCTTTTCTGCCATCGGTTTGGTTTAAGTTTGTACAACACACTTCTACAAATCAGGAGCAGTTTAATATTCTTATGTCATTACATTTGTTTTGGATGTATACTTGTTTTGACACTAAACAAAATTATTCCCGCGCTATACGGTGCATCATGGGTAGGGACTGCTGTGAAATAATGAACGTAAGTGACATCTATCTAAAATTAAATGTTCTTATAAGTTGTTAATTGCGCATGCGTTACAATAATTTGAACCAATTAAATTGCTGGATTTAATGCGAATGCGCTAAAAACCGAACCAAAAAATGGAATCTCGCGCAGATTGCCTCTAGTGGTAGATTCGTAAAAATATCTGAAGACGAAAAGTCGATGTTATTAGAGAGTGTACATGCAGACAATACAAAAAGGTTGACTAAAATATCTATTAAAGTGAAAACATGAAATCTTAAAAGACAACCATTCAAAGTTTGACATTTATTGTACTTTATTTTTCAAATTTGAATGTTAACCTATGACTTAATAATATTAGGGATGTTTAGCTAGACACAGTGAATTCGGGCTTCGTGGAATATCACTTGTGAAAGATGTACAGGTATTCACCTCAATAGAGTGAAATATTTGTTCAGTATTTCATCCGATTTGCTGACTTGGATTATTTCTAAAAAATAGTTTGCTTTAGAATGTATAACTTATAAGGTAATAATTGAATAAGATAGGATATTGCCACATTTTGGAAAGTGCAGTGCCATTTTGATATTTATAGATTGTGACAAGCCATACACCCCTGGGGTGTCTTTTAGTCTCTCTTATTTTCATATGTTTATATGATTTTGATAAAAAAATAACTGAGAAAACTGTCAGACATTGTGTATATTATTTTTTCAGAGATTGGCTATTGCAACATAAGCTCCCCTTGTAAAGAACATGGCAGATGTGAAAACATGCCTGTTCTCAATGACTATAGATGTCACTGCGATATAGGGTATGTTGGAGATAGATGTGAAACAGAGGTTGACCCTTGTGAGTCTAATCCTTGTATGAACGACGCTGAATGTCGGAAAGTGAACGAGTTGTACGAGTATAGATGCTACTGTAACCATGGTTACAAGGGGAAGCATTGCGAAACAGGTACGCAAAATACAAAATCACAGAAATATTTGATATTACTTATACATATCAATTATTTAGAAAACTAAACAATAAAGCATGCAATTATCGAATAAAAGGTTGGGTCAATCAGTTAAATTCCAAACAGATTCACGGATACTTTTTCATATTTTCAGATGAATTTTTTAATCAGTCAATGTGGGGGATCACCATCACGGCGATGGTTCTAGCATTCATACTGATTGTTATTGTTGTCGTGTTATTTGTTGTACTATGCAGATGGAGAAAAAGTAGTCTCACTAAGAAACCAAGGTATGTAGATATATTTATTAATTACGAATATATGTAACAGTAGATTAAGCAATTTTTAGTTTATAACTAACTTTTTTGTAGTGCATTTCGCTCACGATAGGGTATTCAATTATTCACAAAACTTTTAAAACAATGGAACAGTTTACTTTTCCCGGGCTACGTTTCACTTTTTAAGGTACCCGTACCATAAACTGGGTCCAGTACCTAACGATGCTCAAAGGATTTCCCCGCCGCCGCAATACACCTCTACACTTCCAAACCAGCCCATGGGGCAAGATATGGGAGCGTACTCAATTAGAGGTTCAGCTAAACCAACCAATTATGAAATGGAAAGGTAAGGCAAATCCAAAATCCCCAGTTTACAGTTAACAAAATTGCAGTAAATTTAACAATTTTTTGTTTATTTGTTTATTTTTTATTACTTTTCATTCGTAAAAAATCGTAAAAATTCTGCTGTCCAACAAACACGAGCTACAATATCTCTTTTTTATTTATTTTACTCAATGTCTCTTGATGTTATAATGAACACATTTAATGTTGATGAACATATTTCATGTTATTTTACTTATAGGTTCAATAATGATTATTGGGAGGAACGAACCAATACAGGTGCTACACCCACAGGCCCTTCACCAAGCAGGTTGCTGTCTGAACTGAAAGAACGAATAACTGAATACGAAAATGCACATGGTGCACAAAATAATGGCTTTATACAAAACGAGGTTGTTTATCCTAGTAAGTAAACATAACTGAAACCGTCTTTAACACAGTGAGCATTGTTTGAGAGACACTGACTGGTATGCAAATGTGTAAGAAGGAATAAGTAAGATGTGTACCAAAAGGTAAAAATTATATCACAGTGATATGATGATATTGTTGGGGCCATGTGGTGCCACAATTGTGCTTTCATACAATTTTACACATTTGATTGTCCTCGAACACAGAGATATCTTGAGAAGAGAAGACACCATCTAGACCCATTTTCTACAATCTGGTTCAAAGTTTCTTATTCCCTTGTATCCAATCATATGTATTGTTTGACCTTTCAGGAGGTGACGGGATCACAGTTTATCAACCAGGACAACGATTACCACGTATCGGACACCAGGTAACATATATCAGTATAGCCGGTTCTGTACAACTGGATACTGTATAATTGTACATCATAACATATGATCACAGTGACCAACTCTCGTCCACAACTCAAGATTATATAATTGTTTTCCCCAATGATATATATTATATAAACTTCTAAGGGCTAATAAAATCATTCACTCAAAATCTAACTCAACTCAACTAGGCCTATATTATTAGAAATGTGTAATTTAAAAAAAAAATGGAACAGCAGACTATTCGGGGAAAACAGTTGATTCAAAACATATCGAAGATACTTTTTAATTATTAAACAAATAGTAGCTTAATTTCTTTTTGATTCACGGTTTATAATAATTTTAGAGTGACCGGGCGACAATGCAGACGCCGTTTTGACAAACAAATATGGCTGCAATGCCAAAGGAATGATGGCAGCAAGTTGCAATATGTTCGAGGCGACAATCTAGGTTATATTTCCTAAAGTAGTGAGTGTATAAAAATATATACAGTGTACATAGTACATACATACATGATGAGATAATGACAATACTCCAAGACAGTCTGAAACTCTCCCGATACAAAAAGATCTTGTCCTGTTGGTTGCAGAAACTGATGATCTTGGATAAGGACTACATTACAAAATGTAAACCACAGTTTTGTATTATAATCTCAACATATGCACCACTGCGATTTCAAACTGGAGCTTATATCAGAAACTTTAACCACAATTTAGCTGTTGTGGTGACTTCCATCAGCATCCGGATTCTTCATTGCCAGTTTTTATATTTTGATACTCGGTATCTCGAAGTACACTCCTCTCTCCATTTTCCTTGAATAAGAATACAACTAAATGCTAGTTTCTTACTATTACAGCATGATATATTTATATTGTTAAATAGGATCGTACAATATTTTATTTTCATCATATTTCATCATGTTTTCATTTAAAGATATTAGGCTATGCATTAGGATCACAATATATATATTTATTGTAAACACAACATCACTCACTTGTCTTGAGTCTTTGTTTTCTTTACATCCACATGCTTTGTCTTTGACCCTAGATGAACAACAGCAGCATATCGCATCACACAGCGAGAAAGTATATGCTTTGTCTATGCACCTTCCCTTTTCACCACCTCAAAATTGAAACGCACTTTGGATTAAAGGTTTTAATGATAAATCAGATCGGGATAACAGAACTGTAAAATCCTTAAACTTGTCTATAATGTGAACAATGAACACAATATACGTCACATTGTTATAATATGTGTGTATATAAATTGTATGGAACAATAATCTTAAACTTAACTATTAATAAGGGTATCCACCAGCATTACTTTAAAAGATCAAAAGTTAAAATTTCAAATGTTATGATATTGAATAATTTCAGGATGGTTTTGCCTTTGAAAAATCGATTATGTAAGATTCAGGATGTTTAAATTGCTGAACTAAACAATTAAATGTATTTTACTTTTCAGTTATAAATAACTTAAGTAGTGTGCAAAATCATAAATATTAGTTTTGATAATCAAGAAAACCATTCACTGTATTCGTGACAATATTGTCATCGACATCATGAGAGTAACAAATGGAGATGTGAGTTTCATAAATACCTGTTGCCCAACTGACTACAAGCCCGATAACTATGGCAAGGAGTATCCCCAGCGGTGCATATAGGAGATGAGAAATGCCATACAAGTGCTGGATCCCTGTTCTATAATCATGAAGTACAGTATATGCACATTTAGACCGTTAAAATGCAATACTATATGGTACAAAATAACACTATTAAGAACGCCTTTCTGTATATCTTGTCACAAAGGATTTGACATTTTTCTCTTATTTAATAGAGGCTTTTCCATATAGCTTTGCAATCTCGTAAAAGACTCGTTTTAATGAGATTTAAGGAGATCTCCATTTTTGACCACTAAAGACTAATCTTTTCTTCTATTTGATGTCATATCTGAATTCTGTGTGTAATTCTTATTACTACAACTTTGATTTGCACTGTTATTTACCTTTATTCAAATTCTATCAAAATACTTAACATAAAACAAATGTAAGCACCACTGAGATATTCTTCATAGATCATTCTTTATTTATACAATAACATTGACTTACAATTGAGGTTCCATAATACTGGAATGATTTAACAGATTTCCATCATATACAATGTCTATTGTATCGTTATACAACGACGTGACATTGTTATAGACGGAAATGTTATAAACACTGCTTCCATTTGAAATTTCACATCGATCAGTTGGACCAGGAGGTAAATATTGATTATTGCCTTTAATAGACTGGCCTCCGATAGCAATCCAGAGCAGGATTATGAAAGATACAACTGGTCCCGTTATCGCTCCCTGGAACGAAATAAATTGTAGAGCATGGTTGCCTTTACTTACCACCCAGACTTGCAGACTACAATGGCCTTGTGGTAAACCTATACAAGGTCAAGGGCATGTGTGTGATATATGGTTCCAACCACAATCAACCATTTTAAATGCAAAAGTATAATTTCACAAATAAATACTAGTTGCTTTAATAAATGTTCAGAAACTTTCCAACTAGGAGAAGTACATAGCAGTATGCCATGAACTATTTCATATTAACATTTTAGAGACGAATTATAAACTAAGACATATAGCTTACCTTCCAGTTGGAAGTGGCGGTGAAAGCTCCCAGTATAAATAAGGCTGAGGAACTCCCACTTATGGCACCGCTTAAAGTTGAGCCAGCCTGTGGGGTGAAATACAAGAAACGATCAATCAATCACCCAAAGATGAACAAAGTTGCGTCACTGATGCTGCCGTGATTTAAATCATTAAATTACTTGTTATACAGGTATGTGGTTCGAGATATAAACAAAACGTAAAAGTAATGCTGAGTAACAAAATACTACAATACAATGGATGATAATACACTCAACATTGATCTTCTTCATATTGACATATTCATTAACAACCTTTGCCATTAAACATTACCAACAGGTGTAACGCTTACCTGTATTACTGGTCCTTTTATGAGCATTGCTAAACAAGCAACCCCAGTTGAGCAAACACCATAAATTACAACTAAAACAGTAAATGGTTGATGTATGAACATCTAAGAGGAAATGAAGTCAACATTTACTGAAACAACAATTTATTTAATGTAAGAACATTCGAAGCAATAACGAGGGAATAATGTCAAAAACTGAATTTTGTACATGACATTACTAAAACGTATACGTCTGCTTACCCAAAAGCTTTGTGCAGAGTGCTTTTCTTGACTCCTTTAGATGTCTGAACCTGTGTTTGAGGAAATCCTCCCAGGTGATCGCCGAAAGAGCATTTAAACCTGATGATATGGAGCTACAATTAAAATTAAAATTCGGCGTTCATGAACAAATCAAAGAAATATTGTGTATTGCTATCTCAACTACCAAGCATTGTCTGATTACAATTTCAGAATTCGGTAACACCTAAAAGCAGAACCTCTCTGATTCGAGCATGTGAATTTCATTTTCCATTAATTTACCTCGAGGAAACCCTAGATCTCAATGGCGTCCGAATTAGACAGATTTTAATTTAGTTGTATATCTTGACGCTGAATAACTTCTGGTACATCAGGCAAAATAATACTAATATTTCCATTCCATGTATTTTTACAATAATGATATTCTTATTGTCAAATATCTAAATGTTTAAGGAAAAGAGAAGCAGCATACCTGAGTGCCCCACTGAAGAGGGTTGCAAGAAATAGTCCTGGGAAACCAGGGAGGCTCTTAAATGTATCCATCACAAAATATGGCAATATCTACAAAGACCAGATTGTTTTACACCAGTTGTGTTGTAACTTCATGTAGTATGAATAGTAGCATGGACATGAAAGAATGCTAAAATACCTCCGAAAGATGGTTCGAAAATATGAAATAAACAAAATGTAATGTATATTATATCAAAAATCAAATGTACTGTTATTAGAAATATGGTATACATGTATAATGTTTTCATATAAAAGTAATATCCATAATTTACATACAGTAACCTTGCTTAGCTAATTTATTAAATATTCAGAAAACATGTACTACCTGATTTCCTGATTTAATAATTCCTTGTTCAAGGGGATCACAGCCTATATGGATGTAGTATGCAAATATGACAAGTCCCGCGAAAGAAACCATTGTTATCAACAGAAATTGCATCGGTATGGCGAGCAGAACAGCCCTATAAAACAATCACACGCCAAAAACTTATACATATACATACACCTGGTCATATTTGTGTATATATCTGAGTATAAAATTGATATTTAAATTCAAACAAAAATGTGCAAATGTGCAAGATTTTATTACAAACGGTACTGGAAACGACGAATTAGTTTGCTATGATTATTCATGATCTGTGAATGGAAATTAAATTCTTGAAAATCAGAGCGCTGATTTCCCATTTTATGTACTGGATAAAGCATAAGAATGAGATTTTATAAGAAATAATAAACCGAAGGCCGAAGGCCTGAGGTTATTATTTCTTATCAAATCGAATTCGAATGCTTTATCTTACTTAAATCACACACATTCTTATTACAGGTAAATGGTAATCTGGAAAATTTTATTTCTTTTGTGTTGACTGTTCATGTAGTTATCCAATTAATTGTAACAACAAAAAAAGTTGGTTGCATTGACCTCATGAGTGTGAGTTGATGTAAGTGACTGAGTGGGCTATAATTAGTCTAGCTTCAGTGCACTACAGGTGACTGTCCAGTCCAGAACATTGCATTTGAATACAGCAGAATATTTGTAAGTAAGATAAGATCAATGATGTAGATAGCAACAAAAATTGATAAATTGTTTTATTCTAAAGAATGCACAGTAACAAGAGAAGGGTACATGTATTTTTGTATATTGTTTTTAGGGAATGAAAACTATCAAAAACTGTCAATGGTCATTTATGTCTCACTTGTTTTTGATAGCTTGCCAAGTGTACATTCTTTAAAAACAATAGAAAAATAATGCACTTTCCTTTTGATAAAACCATACATTCTTAAAAATAAACCACAGCAAATTCTATTGTGTTGCTACCCAAGTGGGATTTAATTGAATATAACGATTTGTCAACATGGATATAGCCGAATTACCTAACTGCGTGAACAACCAAACAGCCCATCCTTAACATATATTGTTCTACTCACGCATTTGCTTTCTTTAGTGTGGGCAGTGAGCAAAACCTTTGAACACTGGCTTGACTGGTTCCATATACCTTCCACCAGAGTATCGTATCTGACACCACTATAGTCCAGAATGTATTGATTCTCGTGGGATCAAAATTAAAGCTAAAACATAAATAATATAAATCGTAATGTAGTTGATCAGCATTACTTTAATATTTGACGATTTTGTTGTTTTGAATCGTGCTAATAACCTTCAAAAGGTAAGATAGGTAGCATATACTGTATTGTACATGATATTAACTGGGTAACTTACTTAAAGAAGTTGAGACGTTTGTGTTCCTGGCAAATCTCAAATACCTTGGAGACACTTCCAATTTTGACAAGGCCCTGTTTATAAAAAACAAAGCAATTAGCTATGTATGGGTTCTACCTGGAACTGAAAAACTCCATATAGGTCTATCAATCACCAACTGACAAGAAACTTGAATTTATTATTTTGATTATTACTCATAGATCACATATACGGTTACCATGACAATGACTGCTATTACTCCACCTAACATGATTACAGATTGGAACACATCTGTCCATACAACAGCCTTCATTCCTCCCTGCAAACAAACAAAACACCCAAGCATAACAAAGTTATCTCACTGATTGAACAAAAAAAACACTAAATATGTAAGAGTTTTTAGATAGACATTTAGTTCACCATTATATTCTGACAATCTATTTTGATAAAAAAGGTAATTTACTTGTATGCCTCCTATTCTATATATCTGGACACCTGTTAATTTATTTTTTGTTTTTTAATCACTTCACGAAAATAAATTGAACTGACTCCTCAGCAGATTGATATAGTTGATAAAAACATATTTATGTACGCTAAAATATGAAATATTATACGGTCAGTGTTCTTTCATTATTTCTTATATCAAAGTTGGCGTGGGTATTGTATGTGTCGTATAAATTAGTAGACTCCGCTTATACTTTAGATTGTTTGAGCGCGAATTATTTATTATCCATACGCTTAATCGGAAAGGAATAATAGATTAGCCAATCATTCATGAGATGAATTTAAAATACTGAAAAGACAAATAAAAGAAAATACATTAAATCAAGTCAGATTTAACTAAGCATTTCTATATCAGTGTATAGCTTTACGATGGCAACGAGAATGCTTATTAGTATAATTTCAATTATTTTAAAATGTTATTGCTTCGAGGGAAGAATCAGATCTAACAGTATCCTCAGATGATAATTCTTAATTGTTTCAATTTTAGAATATCTTAGGCTCATATCATTCCCTGTCATGTCTATTTTTTAAAAATCCCCAAGTGTATATACTTTATTTGAGGAAAACTGAAGATTTTAACAGTACTGCATTAATTTTTCTAAAAATATGGTTAATACCATTTTATCATTTGGTAGAATTAAGCATTTTTCCAATCTTGGTACTTTGACTCCTTAATAATTAACTTCACCAATTAATAACATATCATGGATCTTTAAGGAGATGTCATATTTGAGATTGTAATCATTCACAATTCAATAAAGCGTTGTCTTAAATATTTAAAATTTTAAGCATTTTAGAATTTGAACTTCGATAGTTTAAAAACGCAGGGATAAACCAGTGTAACCTCCGAAAAATCGACCATTTTCAATCTCAACGAAACTAGGCTTTTATTATAGACCTAGATGTAGCGATTCATAAAATAAAATAAAAAAGGTATATCAACGGATTATTTTTCTCATAAGAAGCTTCTAAAAATAGGTATGACGTTATCATCATTTGAACATTTGAGGCGCCATTGATTTCACAGCAAAAAACATATTTTCCTATATTTCTTCGATAAAATGATGATCTAGAGAGTATTGACGATTTTTGTCGAGCCTAGATAAACTTCCTTTATACATAATTACGTTGGTTTGAATATTTGGTACACTCAGGACATTTTTAAACTTTTTTTCACTTAAAGTGTTACCCCTACCCCAACAACATTTTGACACGTTTTGAATCGAAAGTTACGCAAATTTCTAATGGATTGTGGTATTTTTTCATTTGCTTATTCTAAAAAAGTGTTCTCATGTTTATTTTGATATAAAAAAACATAGGGTCAACGGTCTGTTTTACGCTTGAAAATGCCGTTGAAGATTGGTGTGATTTAACAATGATACAAAAGCCACTGGTCAATTCGCGTCATAATTTAACTAAACATATCACGTCTTTATCAAGAATTAATAACAAAATCAACTGCTCACAAAAACATAAACTAGCTAAGTCCACGTGATAAAACATCATTCCAAAACATTATAAATATGGATAAATTAAGGGCTAGATGCCCCAGTTAGACATTCATTCAATAAACGATTATCTAAAATGGCTAATAATAGCCATATTTGACTTCTATTCTAATATGCTAATGTTTCTGTTCATTTTTTCGTGATAGATAACGTTACATTTGAGGTTAACAATTGTGAAAACTCAGCCTTACAGACTAGGCATGAATGATTTCACTCGTAATATATATCATGCGTGCTTTTTGATGAATTTTGGGTGGGGTTGTACATTCCCTTTGCATTCCTCACCCCAGGTCCCCACTTATGTAAAGCTGTCAGATTTGAGCAAGATACGTCTACTGCATGTAGTACACAACTAATGTGTTTTTGTGAACGGCTACAGACGTTTTTCGCATTGTATTTGTCCGATCATGGTCGTTAATACTCATTGGGAAAATATTTTTAACTGGTAACTATAATTATAACTAGACTTTGGAAATTGAACGAAGTTCAATTTCAGACTCCAGATATAGACCATTTTTAGCCGAGTCATCCAGAATAAGCTGAGTCATCCAGAAAAAGATGGATGAATAAAATAGGAAGGTAGGATAGGATAGAATAGGAAGGAACAATAGGATAGAATAAGAAAGAAGGATAGGATAGAACAGAATAGGAAGAAAGGATATGATAGGAGAGGATAGGAAGGAAAAGATAGGAAGGAAGGATAGATAGGAAGGATAGGATAGGATAAGATCAGATAGGAAGGATGGATAAATTTTTCAAAATTTTCGACTTCTCTACTCTTGACTTTCTATCAGGATACCATCAGATCGATTTACCGAAATTGAGCTTTCAAAAAGCCATAACTTTCGAACCAGAAGTTGGATCGAAATTTGGTTTGCAGACTCCGATTCCTGAGAAAATTCTACCCTTAATTCATAACTCACATGTTAAATTTGGAGAACTTTTTATTTTCACCTACTTTTCGGACACCATATCTCAAAAGTGGGTCGAAATACTTTCTGACGGCAAAGGCTAACACTGTAAGCACACTCTTTCCTACCTTATACACAATTTTGAAGCAAATCATTTAAACATAGTGTCAGAATCGGAAAAATAAGGAAAAACTATGAATTTGACCTAGATTTTGACCTAGGGATTTTGGTGTCCAAATTTTGAAGTTAGGTAGCCTTCGAGGTCCCCTTCTTTCATAAGCTTTCATTATTTTAAGCTGTACTTAGTCTATATCTCGTATTTTACACTTCAAAAAAATCTTTTTTCCCATTGACATAACATGGGGCACCAAATTTAGCGATTTTTGAGCTTTCAAAATGTCATTACTTCCGAACCGGAAGTCGGATCGAAATTTGATTTGCAGATTCGGATTCCTGAGAAAATTCTATACTTAATTCATAACTCAAACGTTAAATTTGGAGAACTTTTTATTTTGACCTACTTTTCGGACACCATATCTCAAAAGTGGGTCAAAAGACTCTCTGACGGCAAAAGGCTAACACTATTAGCACACTCTTGGCTACATGTATACAAATTTCGAAGCAAATCATTTAAACATAGTGTCAGAATCGGAAAAAATAAGGAAAAACTATGAATTTGACCTAGATTTTGACCTAGGCATTTTGGTGTCCAAATTTTTATGAAAAGAAGGTTTTGAGGTCCCTTTCTTTTATGGGCTTCCATTATGTTTAGCTGTGCTTAGTCTATATCTCGTATTTTACACTTCAAAAAAATATTTTTTCCCATTGAATTAACATGGGGCACCAAATTTAGCGATTTTTGAATTTTCAAAACGCCATAACTTCTGAACCGGGAGTCAGATCGAAATATGGTTTTCAGATTCGGAATCCTGAGAAAATTTCCTATAAGACTGATATCCTGGACATTGGATTCGGAGAACTTTTTTTTGGACCTCGTTTTCGGACACTGATATCTCGAAATCGGTTTGAGATACCAAAAAACTAAATTTTCTACTTTTTTTATGAGGAACACAATGAAAAAAAAACGGATCAGAAATATTGAAGGACGACCGAGAAAATCGAAAAAAGTGCCAAAGTACTGGATTTGACCTAGTTCTTGACCTTTGACCTAGATAAAAATTTGACCCAATAACCCACCAACTAGATACTGAACCTAAATAAACTGTATTATGGTACTTACTGGATACCTCATAGTTATTGAAAAAACTCCCAAAGAATAATAAGAATAAGAAGAATAAGAATACTGGCAAAAACAATAGACTCCAGATTGACATCTGGAGTCTAAAAATATAGAATAATAACATAAATTGAACAAAGGTTTGAATGGCTTGTTTGACATGTTTGATGGTATTTGTTTTGACAGAATGGAAAAACGAAACGAAGTAATGATTTCAATAGAAATACATATAAATGAATGTCCATGTAATAAGTGTTTACATTGATTATAGAAATTCCAAAATAGAATACTGTATTTTACTGTTGCCTTTTAATATTAAACCCCTGACCAATACATAGGCTATAGACAACAATGAAAACTCATACAGACTGTTCATACTAGACATTTAGCGAAATAAGAAGCAAGTTACAAATTAGGTTTGTCGTGTATCATGTGCACATACACATATACTATTTCTTACAATAAATCAAGCATAACTCTTCGTTATGCTTTTGAAGAACCAAATTGAGATTGAGTTCCAGTATCCCACAAAAATAGGATTCCACTTTGGTCCGCATCATTCCTCTATCAAATATCCATAGAGATATTTGAGTTTATAGACGTAACTCTGCCAGATAAGAATGAATCAATGCAACTTACTATGGATGTGTAGATAGTTCCGACCCCTGCAGTGACCAATATGGATGCCCAGACAGGAAAACCAGTAACTAAAAACAACATTATAGTATATGCCTGATAGTTTAGCTAGATTTTTTTTACTTGAGCTTATGTGGCCTGCTTTATATATCGCACTACCAAGCTTCATAGTTCCTTCGATATCTCCAAAGGTTGACAATTCACCCCACCCCCATTTAATCATGGTGTTTAAGTCTATTTATGTGGTGATTTAAAAAATATCTCTGTCTTTAACTGATCCAAAATGTACTTGTACAGGGTGTCCCGAAAGTATGCCCCCCCCCTAGGCAGACATATACCAGTGTCGTCATAGTATGTGTCATATATCACTTTAAAGTTTATCCAAAGTTACATTGAATCGCCAAGTATCATGGTTCAACTCTCAAATGTGAGAAAATTACAGGCATTTCAAAATTTAGTGTTTGGTCAAAATTAAGTTCAATTTTACACCAAATCAGTAGTCAATATGTCCCCCGGGGCCATCTTAACAGCAGCAATTCTTTTCGGGTCGGATGGAAATTGTGTTGGAAAAAGAGAACGGTGAGGGTAGAAACTCTAACGAAACTCTTCCAAAGTCCCTTAACAGGTTTTAAGAGGGTTATAAAATTCCACACCCCTATTTGAAGGGCTTTTAAGGTCATATCTGTATATAATTGCTGCTGTTAACATGGCCAAGGAGGGACACATTGACTAGTAATGTGGTGTAAAATTGAACTTTATTTTGACAAAACACTAACTTTTGAAATGACTGTAACTTTTTCCCATTTGGGAGTTAAACTATGATTCTTGGCAAGTCAATGTAACTTTGGATAAGCTTTAAAATGATATATGACACATACTATGAGGGCACTGGAATATGTCTGCCTAGGGGGGGGGGGCATACTTTCGGGACACCCTGTATATGGGAAAATCAAAATTAAACATAAAGATGCTCTTCCACTCTTTCCCGATGATTGTCAGAATTGTCGAGGTTTTGGTGGTCTGTATGCACTACTCAACTAATTTCTTCATTAAAGCTACATTTATCTTTATCTGTGGTCTCTTACGAATCAGCATGGGCGTATTTCTATTTTATTTATTTATTTATTTTTATTTTATTCGATTTTGATTTAAGCGATATCAGAGATAATGGAGACTTTAAGCAAGCGATGTTTTTCACAACGCAACCGCAACGCAAAAGCAATGAATCAATGCAGTAATGTGTAGAGCGCGCATACAAAACAAGCGTTACTTATAGTCTACTTCAGATACCCAATCAGCTTCAGTTTCGTACTTAGATCGGGAGATTTGCAATTTAACGTTGGTTTCAATGGGAATCATTATACTCAAGTCTATTGACTACTATGCTGTCAATTTTTATTTCGATGCACAGTATAATGCTTTCTGAAGAAAATGTATGTCATACATGTTTTAGCTCCAAATATCTTATATGGAATGAGCTTGTTTAAAATATGTATAATAGAAAACCAGCTATAACTATCAATGGCATATTACACAACGATGTGTGATCTAAGTAACGGACTAAATAAACACTGTAACTGAACAAGTATTTATGTTAGAAAACTACATGCATTTTATAGTGCAATTTATACGTACAGGTTGACTTTTCGATTGTTTATGCATTGCTTAAAGTCTCCAATTATAATGCGTAGTTACCTGCTTCAAGAGCTGTGGATGGTGCAAACATTGCTGTACCCATATAAGATACCTGAAACGGTAAATTCAGAATTATTTGATAATGAAATTAGTCACTTTTCTTTCAAAAGGAGGAGGGAAAGTAGCGCAGCAGATTTCGGACAGTCATATGCTGGATTTTGGCTATTCTCTGAGGATTTAAACAGGTGCATATGTTAGACCAATGCATTACCTCCAGGAAAAGCACTCAAAGAGATGATAAAATAATTTCGACATTGAGACAGGAAAGATGCAAACAACCCACCCACATGTTTTTTCTGAAATGTTATCCTGAACTTCCACCCTGCTTTTTTAATTTTTCTTGCATCAATATGTTGCGTTTTGACGCACAGTTGATCCATATTAAGTCATTCCTTTAAGGTAAAGTAAAAAACAATATTTTCCGTGTTATTTTCCCATATTGAAAACTCGTGCGATTCATTGCTTTCAGCTGATTTTGGTCACCCATAATAGATATCTTTAATACTCCTGAAGGAGTTATATATCAGTATGGTACACTAGTAGTCTTATAGCGCAGCATTTTAGAGGATAAGATGTTCAGATAAAATGTTTTCTTTTTTGATGTTTTCCTTTTATTGCTGTTTCTGTAACCATTTCTGGTATTTTCCTTTGGTACTTGTGCACACATTTTCATAAAACGCAGCATCTTTTGATGCCAAACGATCATTATGATACATTTGACTCAAATTTTCTTGTTGCCTTACCGTTGCAATGATTCCCATTACAGAGCCAAGTTTTCGAACAGCTACTGAGTCAAACCTCAAGTACAGGTACTGAAATGAACAGAAAAATTACATTTACGTAATATTTACAATTGCATTTTGATGCATTGCTCGAAAGATTTCAATTCATAATCTCAGCAATAGAGGATTCCGAGGCATTTTAAGCACATAATACATTCTTCATGATGTAAATTCAAGAAGGCCACTGTTAATGAAAACACAGAGGGGACAAAGCCCCTTTCTCCAAATAACTCCAATGCTGAATTACTAAAGATACTCATAAAAAATAACGCGTTTTATAATTACCATATATTTTGTATACTCCAACACTTGCTCAACATATTCAATTTACTACATTAGACATAATTTAGAATTGATCATTGAATAATTGATCATTTAATACTACATTGGATTAGTCTTATTTCTGAAAATAAATGTTTGATAAATCACTTATTTGCATTGATGAAATAAATGTTTGGAGGATACAAAATATTGGACAGCAAAACCTAAATCCACCATAAAAATAATATTTTGTCTGTTGTTTCCATTGTCTGTCATTTAAGAGGTAACATTTAAGGGCACTTTCTGGCGAAATCTTAAACAAATGATGCATCAGTAATGTTAATTTAACGAGTGTGTTGGAGGATACAAAATATTAGACAAATGGTATATGCATAGAAAAAATATTTCATTGCATGGTTTACACACATACCTAACAGCGCCCTTTTAAGAGCTAATGTCAAACATACTTTTTATGTAGTTTGAAAATATCAACACAATCGATGCTCTGTGCGAGCTCGTATGTGCTGTAATCCGGGTTTGTATCACCACAAACAAAATAAAACTTTATTTTTTGACAAAAATCCTAATTTGAGCTTTCTTTGATAGATAATAAGCAATATTTTCAGTATACATCGCATGATTATGATAACCAGTTGTGATGACTTTAAACTAACACACATCAAATGTCGCTGGTGTCAACATACACAACGTAGGCTTTAGTAGAACTGATTTTTATGTTAGTAATTAGACCAGTTTCTGTGAGCAGGTGAGGGAAGCAATTGTTTTCAAATTTTTGAATATGGTGTTATGGCGTTCACATCGTCTTTCACCTGATGTTGATATTCATCATCAATGTTTTGACCGGTGCAGGTGTTGCAAGTTTGGAAAAATTGGATGCCCAGACTTTGTGGAGCTCATCAAGAGTGGTGTGAACATGACCATTATCATAAAGTTCAGACGAAAGAGCTGGTTTTTAGTTTTCCTTTGTTTCTTGATTATATTAGGGCATGGAATAATTGATCATCCTGAGCTGAGGCCTCCATGATTTTAACATTGGTAGTTCTCCGTTTAAAGTGTGCTTCTCTGCGTAGGAGGGTTTGTGTTCTCGATAGCAACATTATGAAATTCACGTTTGGCCGTTTGAATAAAAATGACACGTTGAGTTCTGTTATCTTCTCCTGTTTCTCCAAAACATTACGCCGTGTAGATTTTTTACTATTGCAGATATTTTCAAACCATGGGAACCATCTTTTTGACATTTTCCAAATATTCTATATTCTTAAAACGAAATCTGATTTTCCCAATCAAGTTATCGTCAGAAGATGTTATGATAATCACAGTTATGTTGAAGAAGAAAAATCCATTAGATGTGATGATAATCAGCAGTAACGTTGAAGATGAAATGCAAGGCATTCGATTCCATACGCCTATAGAATTATATATATTATAGAATATTATACAAATATCTAATTCTATCGAGGTGAATACCTGTGCATCTTTCACAAGTGATATTCCACGAAGGCCGGATTGCTAGTCGAATATCATCTTGTGAAAGTGCCACAGGTATTCATCAAAAATAGTAAACAAATATTTAATTCTATTGAGGTGAATACCTGTGTATCACTCAAGTGATATTCCACGAAGCACATATATGCACGCATATTTGTTTTATTATATCACTGTCATAACATCTTCTATACTTAAATAAGTCAGATTTTAACATTGAAATACATTTCTATTTCTTCTAACAATATAACAATAAATACAATAAATGTCAACTACTAAATTGTATAGTTCATAAATACCAACTCCCAAATTGTAGCATTTTAATTTAAGGTTTCCATAAATATAATGTCAATGTCATCCTGTCTTATGTTCTGAAGATGACAATTTATTCCATGTCTTATTCTCTGAAATGTTGAGGATTTATAGTGTTCTCTCTCAATTGATCGTGCCTCCAAATAAATCTGATTCCATTTTTCATTCAATGTCGATTTTGATACGTTTTCCAAATCAATCACATCGTCTTTGCTAGATATCCAATCTTGAAAGATCTTCACTGATCTTTTTGTTGCCTTTATTGTGTTATCTGAATGAATATTCCCGTGGATTCTATCAATTTCTTCTGCAGAAATATTTGGAAACCTTTGTTTACCGTTTGCCATTTGGTTATTTTATGTATAAAATGAAAATTACACTGGAGTAAGTCAACCCCGGCGATATATAAGTCTTGACCGTTGAACATCATTTGATATCCACCGGCAGTCACGTGACTTCCGTTGAATATCGCTACTTATTTTTTAGTCACGTGTAGGACATGGACCAATAAGAGAGTGAGGATTATGATAGTGATATAATAAAGCTTGTTATTTTTTATTCACGTGTAGTACATGAAGCATATTATTCATTTGTATTTTGTTATATGAAACATAAAGAATTATTTGTTATTTGACCCTTGATAATGATAGAGATGAATTCTGTAAATATAATGCTTTTAGTAGTAAAAAACTAATTATTACGCTAGTGAATAACTTAGATATTTCGCATAATTTTATTACATCTGCTCAGCCTATATTTGAAAAAGGCCAAGAACCACACTTATGCTAAAAATTAGAATAAAAATGTTTACGTTTTGACCCCTTGTGATGATAGGCATATTTCGACCCGAAAGCCAGATGTTTATCAGCAACTTGAATATAGGAAAATATAGACAAATGAAACTAAATACTGGTTCAAATGTTGCTGGACTAGTGTCCAACAGATTCTTAATCTTGGACTCTAACCAAAAAGGCATATTAATTGACCTTGATTGTTTTGATATTCCTACATGTAAAGAAACAATATAGGCTACTAAAAGTCTTCTCACAAAAATTGATACCAGTATGTTCAAAATAAGGCGGTCAACGCCATTTTTCATCTGCACATACAACATGTGACTACCTGCCATGTGGTAAAGACGCCGAACGCCAGACACCAACCAACGACGACATCGTTAGATATTGAACAAACATGATGGTATTGAGGTATGGTCTTAATTCATGATTTTAGAGATGTGACTTTTTTGTACATTAAATCGTCTTAAATCATACACTATAACATGCCTGGCCCTGGTCAATTCAACTGTTTCAAATTGAACCATTGTCAAAATCTTTTTCAAAATTCGAAATCAAAAGACACCAGACTGTCTTTTTGTGTTCGAGAAGACATTCCATTGACTTTTAAAATGTCTCAAGGACCTTCTTGCAACATTGAATACAATTTGATTGTATATAGTTTATTCAGTTCAATAGTTCATTCAAAAAGATGTCAAATTATAAAACTGCACTTCCCACAACGTAATACCGAGACATATCTTTTGAAAAGATTACAAAACAAAATATTTTTAGTTGCACTATTACTAGAGGTATTTCATTTGAATGAATATATTGAGAATAAAGAGTGTCAAATAAATATGTTCCGTCGGCTTCAAAATAAAAACATGTTTCCCCCATTAGTCGATGTGTCATTTTCTGAACCTTTGAATCTGTAAAAACACGATGTTTTATTGTGGAATCACTATCATAAGGGTTTTATGAACTGATTTAGCTGGGTTGGACAAAGGGCAACATTGGGGAATAAATTACATATGCAAATGAAGGTGCGATATTTTGAAAGCCTTTGACTCAATTGATCATACTATTTTGCTTAATAATAAACTTACAAACGATGATATCAACTGTGGAAAAGTGGTAACATAGTATAATAATAGCTAAGAACACCAAGACAGTGTCTCATTAAACCATACTTCATTATTCACTCATGGTGTGATTCAGGGATCTGTTTCATGTTATATTATTTTTCTATACATTAAACACCTGCACGAAACAAGTTTATTAGTTTATTGATTTATTTGTCACTATTGGTAATGACACACATCTAATTTCATCATACAAAACGTTTGATATCTCTAAATATGCTAAACATGCATACCGTATAATATGTACACTATCTGATGAGTTATTTTTGTATATTTTAACATTATAGGTCCCAGGCCAGGGCTATCATTTTTCCTTTCTAAGATATGTTAGAAATTCAATAATTGGCAACCCAATTAAATTACTAAGAATTTAAAGAAACCACCAATTAGTCATTCCTTTGTACTGCAAGCTTAATAGACAAAATATTTTGAATATATGTGAAATACCAATAACAAATATGCTAATTTGCATAATGCACAATATCTAAAAAGTATCATTGTATCTGACTGACCCTGAAAACATTTTGGCTAATTTGCATATAATGTAGTACCTGTACATTAAAATATGATAAATGGTTTTTGTATCTTTTTATATCATCTTATTCATTGACTCTGAAAACATGGGTAAGGGCACAACAATTATGATGCTATCATTATTACTTTTTAAATTATGTAAGATATTTCAATAATGACTGCCCTTATTTGCATATATAATTTTCCCCGAAATTAGTTATTTTTGGCAACCCAATTAAATCAATAAAGAAACCCTTAATTAGTAAATTAGCCAGTAATTTTCATTGTATTACAAGCTTGATATAGAAAATATCTGAATAAATGCGATATTTCAATCATAAAATATGCTAAGTTGCAATTATGCACTCTGTCTAATAAGTTATTCTTTTATATTTTAACAATATCTTATTCTTTAACCCTCAAACACAAGTTTCGACAAACTAATTATGCTGCTTTCATTTTTACATTTCAAGATAAGATATAGAAAACAATCAATATTCCAATAATGGCCTCGCTAATTAGTCTATAATATTTTTCCCCAAACTAACTTTTTGTCCAACCCAGCTAAATCTCTTCAGGAAACCCTCATCGTCATAAATTAACCCAAAAATATTGTGTTTTTAACACTTCATAGGTTCACTATAGGATGCACAGGAGTGACAAATGGACTACATGTTATATCCAAAATTCGAGCATGACTGTATTCATGCCTTCTATAAACTGTGAACAAAGTCAATGCTTCGGCTGGGTTGTATTCGAGATCAATTCCCCAGCTCTCTACTAAGTGTTTCGTTCAGTGCACTCATTGGTCAGTTTAGGCCGTTCCGTTCTTTTCGCATCCCCCTCTCGTCTGCAAAATTCAAATTGGCAGGGAGAAATTGTCCCGGAGCAAAAATTTTCTGTCGGAGAATTTGTAAACTGTAATCTCAATAATTTCAATAATTATCAATGTAGTAGATAACTATGCGTGAAACCGATAAAATAGGCCGTAATGTCAATAAGTCCGGTCAGGAGGTAAGTAAACAAATTGGAACAGCCAAACGCTCAACCGGAGTAGAAATGAAAAAAGTGAAAATGAACATCGAAATTGACGATTTTGCAATATTCTGGTGAGTTTTCATGTTCGAATCGTAATGTAGACCTCAGAGCAGGGCTACTAGTTTCGAATACACCCCTTAGGTCTAGGCACAAAAGGTTTCGTACAGAAAACGTTTGTGCCTAGACCTGCGGGGTGTATTCGAAACGAGTAGCCCTGCTCTTCGGTCTATATTTCTTAACTAGACCTTGTTGAGGTGTCAGAGCACGAATCAAGTATGAATAATGAATTCTTCAGAATAAAAAAAGTTTCACATGTAGCAAAAATACATGTTAGTAAGATAAACTAGCGTTATTGCTCAATTTACTACATTTGATAACAGTATTTGTCAAAAGAAAATTCAACACTTCATAACTAAGTGTCCAATGTTGTCACATTTATGCCTCTCATTGCACATGATAATATTGTCAGGATTGGTTGAGAAGTTACGCATGCTGGAGCGAACTTATTTATCATTTAAATAAAGAACGTGTTCCACACATGTTATATTGACTTGTATTGGAATGAAACAATGAAGTTCGGAAGTAGCATCTTAAATTGTCAGTTGGTGCAAAAATATTGCTTAGCTTGCTTGAAGGCTTTTGATACTACAGCTATTAAAATGATCAGAATTATGTTAACTTTTGCAATGACAAATATCTCACAAATAATCCCGACCTCAATTGTGTAAACATTTTGGGGCTTTTTTGTATTGTCGTTATAAACGGGGCAGATGGTCATCATACATACTTCCTATTAACGGCAGGGCTCCACTATAAAAGCAGAAAGTCAGTTAGAAAATGATGTAAAAGCATGTTTGGAAATTTAAATGTAGACAGAATCTGACACTTCAGTCCTGTTTTTCCACATATCTCTAGTATTTTTGCATAGAATCAGGTAAACTTTGTCAAGGTTAAATAATGAAACTGCACTTCCCCACACCTTAATACCGAGAAAAGACTACAAAAGAAAATATTTTTACTTGAATTAACGGGAGGTATTATGATTTAAAACTTACGCAAGGCTGATCTTGTCTATACAAAACTTTCTGGTAAATATACACTCCCCTCCATAAGTTTGGCAACCTTTTTTCCCCATTGAACTACGTGTAAAAGCCTCTTTATGTTTAAATTGTTATGTACTTAACCGGATATGAAATAGCTTATAATATTGATGGAAACGTAACTTGACTTTATTTCCAATACCTCCACATTTTCTCAATTTTTTTCCTCAATTACAATAGGTCGAAAATTGATGATAAATTTGATGATTTTTTGAAAATCGTCATTCCCATGTAATCCAATGGGAAATGGAGGGTTCGGGACAAATCAGAAATCAGGATATCTTTTCAGTAAAAGATTCAGCAAAAAATATTTTTATATAGAAAATTGAATTGTCTTACTTTTTTTAACACTAAGTGTTTAGTTTATTTGATGAACATTAAAGTTACAGCGCTTCAAAGTCATTTTTGAAAATAATTTTTCGCCTTCTGTGTTATTTCAATGGGAGAGGTTTTTTGAAAAAATTTTTGACTTTAAAGCCCTATAACTTTGTTGAACCTGTAGAAACATATCAATTTTTTGTTGAATAAAGTAAGCAAATTCAATTGCCTGTCTAACTCGTATTTTTTGCAAGGACTCGGATGGATGGATATTCTGTCGTATCTCATACTTGAGTGGGTTTCGGGTAGATATCACCCGGGAATATATATCGTATCTGAGGAGCGGGCAGGATATATTGTATATGTCCCGCTCCAGGCCAAATGTGGGCAGATATAATATATCCATCCCGCTCCCGGGAATTTTTCAAAAGTTTAAAAAAGTTTA